GGCTCGGGGCTGGCTTTTCCTGGGCACGGCTCCAGGCTGGAGGAGGGGATGGGCCTGACCCGAAACCCTTCGCTTGACACCCACGGAAATCGTCCTTAAAAGCAAACCCCGGGGGAGCAAGGAAGGAGYGTTCCAAGTGCCACTCGGATCAGTGACAGCGAGACCCCCAGCAGGATGGGCAGGCTGGGCAGCTGCTGCCATGGGAGTGCTGCTTTTTCCTTTGCCAGGAGCTGGAAGTGAGTCTGGGAAGCTGCACAAAGGCAGAGGGATGACAGAGYCCACGAGGAGATGACGGTGTTGGAACTGCTCACTCAGGACAGGGGAGTTTGAGGTGTCCCTGCCCCTGCAGGGCCCTCGGTGTGTCTCAGAGAAGGAATCACAGGGAAGCAGCAGGTTAAACAGGAGCAGATGGACCCTGTGGCTCTCGGGAAGGTTTTAAAATGCCAGAGGTTAAGGGCTGGAGCAGCAGGAGTAGGCTCAGCCAGCTGTGCCTCTGCCAGACTCCTGTCAGACCCAGGCCTTGGGACAGAAGGGGTCATGTCTCAATTTCTCAGGAGCAGCAAAGGTTTCATTTTTCTTGGTTTCCAGAGGACAGGAGCTGGCACACACTCGGGCTGCCCAGCACAGYGCTCAGGTGGGGCAGGTTCCTCTCTGGAACTTGTCAAGTCCTCTGGAAACTTCCACTGGCAAAACCCCTCTGGGATGGAAGTTTGTTTGCAGGCCCTTCCTTAGGGAGGTGTTTGGAGTTCTGCATAAGAGCCACATTTGCWTTGTTGCCAAACTCTTTATTTTGGTCGCTTTGTCTCTTTCTGGCCTTATTTCTGCTTGTTGGTGTGTGCCTGGAGCAGGCAGCTTTTGCAGGGGGTGACTTGGGAAGGTGTGGATCCTTCTTGAGACACTCACAAAGTGTCACTGCAGCTTCCCACCTTTGATCCCTGGAGCTGCTGCGAGTCCTGCCCRGGCTGGGGACAGGAGAGCCTGGGCTCTCCTGGCCCTGCTGGGATTCTGGCACAGAGGAGAGCTGTGGCACTGCCCTCTTTGGGACAGGGATAAAAGCCAGTCACCTCCTCCCCTTCACCTCGCTGGTAAAAAAAGCTCCTGCACAGGCTGGTGGCCTCTGCCCAGGGTTTTCTTTCCCTGCTTCCCTCCCTGTGGCACTGAGGATCCTCATTCTCCTCCCTGGCCATATCCCAACTCTCCTGCTGCCCTGCCTGGTCCATCCCACGGGATTCCTGTCCCCAGTAGAGCACAGGATTCCATAATGTGGGCTCTGGAAGAGCCCCCTTAACCCCAATATTCCACATTTCCAAGGGGTCAGAAAACCCTGGGCACTGTGCAGCCATGAGCAGCGAGATGGCCTTGGCTTCATCCTCCTCCTGTCGTGCTTCAGATGGATTTCAGAGAAATAACACTTTTTTTTTTAGAATCAATGCCTGGAAATGCATCTGGAAAGCAACGTCAGGATCCTTTTTCTCTGTCAAATCAGTGAGATTAAACAGGAGTGATGGGAAGTGTTGGTGCGGAYAGGAATGTCTGCATCCAGAGGCTTCAGGACACTGGGCTGTGAGTCAGAGAAATTAAAGATGATGGTAATTTCTTTTTTTTCTTTTTAATACATAGAACATTTTGGCATTAACCAGTTGGTGACTGCATAGTTGAGAGGTTTAAGCACTGCCTTGGACCTCTCAAGAGTTTAAATATCACCCCAARTCTCCTTTTTCCTTCTAGGAAGCGCAGTGTGTCTGACTAGAGCACAATGAGCATTCAGTGAAATGAGTTGTGAGATAAAATCCTTGCTCCCCTTTTCCCTTCGTTCCTCAGGAGTACAATTCCTAGAAAAGATCTTACTGCAGAGTTAGGTTGGTCCCTCCAAATGTGGAGATGTTGCACTACAAGACACTGCTCCCTTGCTGGAGCTGGTGTGGAAAATGTGATAAATGTCCGGGAAATTCCTGGTGGATGCAGGTGAGGATTCCTGTKGAGGGGCTGATTCCTGTGTCCCAGTGAGGCTGTACCAGGTGTGTCAGTACCTCCTGCTCCATGGATCCTGCCCAGGGGTGGTTTTGCCACGGGAGATTGATGAGGATCTTTTCAATCCAAGCCTCGCTGTCGTGGTGACCTTGGTTYCATCCCTGCGTGTGAGAAACCTGCAGAGAAAATAAAGCTGAGATGAGTTCAGGTGGTTGGGTGTATCCTGRTCCTTTCCTAGGGCAGGGAATGTGCTGGTGAGATGCTCCTGGTGGAGGAGAGCAGAGCATTGGGGCCCTGGTACCTCTCAGAGGGCTCCTGCCTTTGTTCTGAGGGTTTGARGCCCTGGCACAGGGTGCCCARAGAARCTGTGGYCACCCCTGGGCCAGGCTGGACGGGGCTTGGAGCATCCTGGGGCAGTGGAAGGTGTCCCTGGGTGGCAGGGGTGGKTTGGGATGGGCTCTGAGGTTCTTTCTGACTCCAGGTTTGGATCCCTTCGCTGCCCCTCCATCCCTGCCCCCCCGGCCGTTCCCAGGGCTCTGCTGGGAGCGGGAGCTCRGTGGGAACGAGGGAGAGGCTCCCAGTCAGTGTGCAAGTGCCATTGTTTTGACACACAGGCATCTGGCACTGTCAGGAACAGCAAAAAGCGAGCCTGGAGCAGCTGCTGCCAAGGCAGAGCTGGCAGCAGCCGGGCCTGCACAGCCCCTGCTCCCGTGGCATCCGCCGGGATCTGGGCACGGCAGCGCTCGGGGTCAGCCAGGTCAGGTGTGGCTGTCCCGGGCACTGGGACCACACACACTGGGCACGGCAGGGTGAGAAACACTTTCACTGCAGGGTGAAATCCCTCCCTGGAGAGATAGGAGGGATCCCTGGGGCCTGCTGCTCCCTCAGTGCTGGCATTGATCAGAGCTGGGTGTCCCCACCTGCAGTGGGCACGAGTTTGGGAACAAACAGCAGCTCCTGCTGCCCCTCTCCTCTCCTGCTGGCTGTCCCAAACCCCAGGCTCACACCACAGGGTGTGATTCGCTCTGATCCCCCTGTTCTATATCCATGCCCTGGATGGATAATAACCCTGTTCCAGGTTAGGATGGAGAGGAGGAGGCTGTGCCATGCTCTGGTCTCCACATCCCTGAGCAGAGCGATGTACTGAATGTACAGTGTCCCTGCAGCTCATTTTTGTGTTTGCTCACATTTACCAAGAGGTGCAGCAGCTCCTGCAGCAGGTGCTGGAGCGGTCACACCCCATTGGCATTGTCACCACCTGGGTCAGTGGCACTGGACCGGTGCTCACTCAATCTGCTTTTGTGGCTCTTTCTAAGGTCGGGTTTTTCCTTCCTGGCTCTCTGCAGCTTCCCTGGGGTGGTTTGAGTCCTCCTTGTGTCACTGCCTCTCTGCCAAGGCGGGGATGGGGCGCTGGAGTGGGGTGGGCACTGCGGGGGGCATTCTGGGCCAGGCTGCAGCACAGGGGGAGCTGAGGGTGCCAGGCAGCCCCTTCCTCCACAGGCAGGCTCAGCCTGCTCCTGTCAGGCACAGGGCTGATGTTTCCTACCCTGGCCCTCTCCTGCCTGGGGAGGGTGTTCCCATTTCCAGTCTCATGGGGATTTCAGGAGCGTGTGAGAGCACAGGACTTGACCTGCTGGAGGATCTGTGATCCCCTCTGCTCCCGCAGCTCCAGTGGAGCTGTTGACTCCCCACTGCCGGGGCTGTGCACCCCAAAACTCACTGGGCTGGGTGTCCAGCACACCCTGTCAAGGTGGAGGCTTTCATCCCTCTCCTCCCTCCTGAGCCCTGGCCCAGGAAATGCTGCCTTGTGTAAATTTACATCTGACTTGGCACAATGGATGTTTGTGTCATCGCTGGCGGAGCAGCAGCCGCTCGGCTGCTCCCACGTCGTGGTGGTAATCGAGGTGCTTGAGTTATAGCTCAACTTATTCCGTTTTACAGCTCCTGCAGCGTTAACAGATGTACGGGCGTCTGATCCAATCATGCAGCAAGAGATTTTGGGGCCAGTTCTTCTCGTTTTGACAGTGTGGGAGCTGGGAGCAGCCATACATTTTACAAACAAGAATAAACGACCCTTAGCAACATATGGCTGCGCTGGCAGCTCCGGAGCGATCCCAAATCAGGCACCCTGCGAGGCAGGAATGTTGCTGGGCGCTGGAGCTGGGCAGSCTGGACAAAGCATCTGCCTTCCCTCGTGATATTAATGAGGTGCAGGCACTGGAATCCCTATGCTGTAAGGCTGGGAGGGCTGGGAAGAGACAAAGAGCTTGGAAAAACAACTGCCAGCCCGGAGCAAGGGAGCTTTATTGGGTTGAAAGGCCGGGCTTCATTTTGGTCACTCCATTGCTGCTGCCTGGCTGACCTTGTGGGGTTGGGAGCAGGGGGTGCCCTGTGCCTCTGCTCCAGCCTGGTGAGGAGGGTGCAGCAGGGCCTGAGGAATCACAGAATCCCGGGATCAGTGGGAACGTTCTCCAAGGTCACCGAGTTCAACCTCTGACCTATCCCTTGTCACCAGCCCAGAGCACTGAGTGTCACCTCCAGGCGTTCCATGGACACCTCCAGGGATAGGAACTCCAGACCTCCCTGGGCAGCCCCTGCCAGTGCCTGACCACCCTTTCCATGAGGAAATTCCTCCTGATGTCCACCCTCACTGTCCCCTGGCACAGCTCAGGCCATTTCCTCTCATCCTGTCCCTGTACCTGGGAGCAGAGCCCTCCTGGTCTGTCCCCTCCTGTCAGGGAGTTGTGCAGAGCCACAAGGTCCCCCCTGAGCCTATTTTTCTCCAGTTTAAACCCCTTTCCCAGCTCAAGGARCTCATGGCCTTCCTGTGACCTTGGGGACAACTCAGGGTACAATGTCCTGGCCCTGGCCCAGCTCTGCTGAGCTGCGGCCTTGTCTCAGCTCCCTCCTAAATTCGAGCCCTGCTCAAGTGACAYATGAGGGTCACCCCAGCACCTCCCTCTGCCCCAACCCTCCAGAAACAACTGCTGTGGGTAGAGAGGGAGGGGGCAGCTGGGAGCACCCCAGTAAATTTAATCTCTTCATCATGTTTAGTAGGTTGATTTATTTCTCCTTGCAATCCAAACAATGCCAGCTTTGGTCCCAAAACAGTAGTGAGATTTCTTCCCCCCAGCTGGAAAAAAAAAGGAAAGACTATAAATCCCTCCCTGAGCTGATTTATGAGGTGTTCATGAAGAATTTATATTGCGAAGGATTTTATTAAATTAAGCTTGAAAAGCCTCTTGATTCCTGAGGTTCACTCCTGGAGCCAGAGCTCTCGTAAAACTGGATGGAGCAGGCAGAGGGAATGGCTGAGGTGACACTGCAGCTGATGGGACCATCCAAATCCAGAGCATTTGTCACTGGGATGTGTTCCAGGCTGAGGCTTGGAAAATTACTCCATGAAAAATGTGCATTAACAAGAGCCATGAAATACCTGCTTCAAACCCAGGTGAGTGATGAGCTGGGGGATCTGTTAGTGCTGGGCATTCCTCAGTCATTCCTGGGCATTCTTCATTGGCCAAAAAGGGACACAGAGCCAGAGATTCCTTGGAGAACAAGATTTAGGATTTTTCTAGTCAAAAAATTGAGCAGGGGAAGGGGCAGGATGGATTTAAAAGCAGGACAAGCCCTGGATGGGCATCACCACCTCGCAGCATTCCCTGAGGGAACACTCACACCACCAGGTTTCACATGGATTCTTCTCAGTTTTATTTCCAAGCTGGAAGCAGCTTGGACCTGAGTGCAAAGCTGGGATTGTCTGTGTGATGTGGGTGTGAGCTCTCTGAGCACAGACCCCTCAGGAGGAGCCGTTAGGGTACCGCCCCTCTCACTCAGCTCCAGCAGCTCTGCCAGGGCCCTGCTCCTCATCCCAACCCCTTTTCCTGCATCCTCAGTGCCCTGGGTGCTCCCAAACCCTGGGCTCTGCTCCTCCTGCTCCTGCAGCCAGAGGGGCAGCTCCAGCAGAGTCACCTCCAGCACAGACCCTGAGATTTGGCCTTTCCTGCTTCACCCTCTCCATCCTGAGCCCCGTTCATGGCAGAGGATGCACTGGATTGTCAGCACAGAGACATTCCTCACATGCACAACAAGAGGCAGCCGGAGCCAAGGAATTATTGGTGCATTCCTGAAAATCTGTACAGCTCAGCTCCAGCTGAGGCTGATGGATCAGAAGGGACATGGAGCAGCAAGGCACACAGGGCTCAGTGTTAAAACGTGACAGTTTGCGGCCCCKTGGTACAAGGAAATTCACATTTATTATTTCAGAGCTGCGGACACAATTCCCAAACGCCTCCAGCTGCTGCTCCATATGAGCACTGTGACTTCAAAGGAGGAGCTGATWGTTTTCCCTTCACCAGCCCTCAGAGTCCTGTCAGAGCCTTCCCACAGCACCTGCTGCTGCACAGGGAAATGAAGGCATCTCCAAAATGTTATTGGAATTCTCCTGCCTCAACTCCCACCTGGRAGAAGCAGTGACTCCAGAGCCATCCCCACATGGGATGTGTGGACCAGGCCCAGCAAACAGAACAGGTGTGTTTGGGTCCCTTCCAACTCAGGCTATTCTGTGATTTTGTTCCTCAAGATTCATCAACAAGGTACTGATTATTTCACATAGAAGTTCTTGGCAGTTCCCTTCCAGTCCAGGCTTGTTCTCTTTCCTTTCCTTGATGGACAAAAGCAGTCAACTGGATTTAGTTTTCCATGATCAAGAAAAAAACATTCCAGCTCCCAGCTACAGCTCAGGTTTTATGTAGATTTTCTCTTCCTTCCCTTCCTTCATTGCAGCATAACGTGCCAGGACAAAAAGATAATCACTGAGCCTGGAGAGCAAGGGAAGAGTAGGAAAAAAACCAATCATCTTATTCTAGAAGAGAAGCTTGTAAAGAAGCAAAACCCCCTAGTTTTATCCCCAGAAGTAAGGAAATGCTTCAGTAGGACAGGACAAGGGTTTGGGATTTGATTTTTTACCTGTTTAAATACTTGGCCACRTTTGGATCTGCTTCCCCTGCTTGGACTAAGGGAACCACACTGGGAAAAAGGGAAATGTTGGTGTTTAACTTTCCAGCTCTGAGTGCACAAAGGGCTGCAATTTCCTGGAGCTTCTTCCCATCTCAAAYCTCCCCTGGGGTCCCCACTCTGACTCCCCCAGCACCTGTGACAATCTTTGCTTCCCAGAGGAATCTGGGAGGGGTAAATGATGCCAGTAATGTTTGTGTCTGTCCTGGAGACCYCCAGTTCTGCTCCTCCACAGAAACTCATCTGTGGGGATCACTGAACACAGAGAGACAATTTACAAGGGCATGGAGTAACAGGACAAGGGGGAATGGCTTCCCACTGCCAGAGGGCAGGGTTAGAGGGGATACTGGGCAGAAATTCTTCTCTGGGAGGGTGGTGAGGCCCTGGCACAGGCTGCCCCATCCCTGGAAGTGTCCAGGGCCAGGTTGGAAGGGGCCACAGAATCCCAAAGGGTTTGGGTTGGATGACCCAGCTGAGGGAAGGGAAGAACAGGGCCAGGCCTTGTGCCTCTTGCACTTCTGGYTTTGGACTAAACAAACAAAAGTTTGGCTTGAGCCCCAAGCACAGCCCASCCCTGGCTGATGGCTCCCAGTGCCCTGGTTTGCTGTCACTGTGSTGTCCCCAGCCCCTTCCTCCCCTTTTCTCAGGGTTCTCCCAGCACAGCACTCACCACCTCTCAGCCCTGCGGCACACGGCTCGGGAGAAATGCAGAGCAGCACTGCTCCTGCCTCCAGACTGGAACAGCAAGGAAACACCACTCAGAGCCTGCACCATTGGGGACAGCCCCCCTGCCCCTCCCTGGGAGASCTCAGCACCTCTCACACACATGGAACCGACCCCTGTGCCATGGCCAGACAAGGGAGGGGCATCCCAGTGCAGTAGGATGGGGAAATGTAACTCCCAGCTCCTTGTTTCTGCATTTCTTTTGGCATTTTCCCAGGGAAATAGCAGCCTCCCTGCCTGATTTCCCGTGGTAAGTGGTGGAGCAGGGCCACCCCAAGAAAATGAGGGGGCACAGGCAGCACCTACGGGCAGGATGAAGGTTCTGAGGGGAGGCAGCTGCTCTGAGTAACTGTCAATCCACTGCTCCAGCTCCAGGATGGGCTTCTCGCTAAAAGATGTTCGTTCTGCAGAGGGGAAGGAAGAATCACTGAGGTTGGAAAAGACCACCAGGACCACTGAGTSCTGGGATCAGGACTTCCAGGAAAGGCAAGACTTACTCAGGTGAGCCTCCCTGGCTGAGGAGAGCGGCGTGGCGAGGTTGGAGCCCACGTCCTGCAGCATGCACTGGACCTGGACAAAAATCACAGCTGCTGTCACTCCCACCCGTGGCCTTCTTCATTCCTGTGCTCAGCAGAGCTAATCAGCCAAACTCATGGGCTGCCCACGTGGTTTCTGCCCCAATTTCAAATAATTTCTGCGACAACAAAACTCGTGTCCATAATGTGGATAAACTCAGAGAGGAATCTGTCTGCCCACAACTCATTACCTGATCTACCAGTTTCCTTCTCAGTTAAAGGAATTTATCTTTTAGAGAGCAATCAAGGAGTCTTAAGGGTTTATATGTTGAAATATTAAATGTATGAATTCCTGTGTGGCTAAAATTAAGGAGTTCATGTTGTACTAGCACAGATAAGGGACTGCACCTGGTGAAGATTACCATTAATACTCACTTTATGAAGTTGATCAACAAACGTGTGGCCCTTTTCACTGCTAAATTCACCAGCCAGCCTTGGTTAGGGAAAAGAAAAACATAACAGAGTTAGCTGTGAATGTAAAAAWCACCACGAATATATGATTTTCCTCRTRAAACCCACAGTTTGGATACTCCTGGCCGGTCCTCACCCGATGGCCGAGCTCAGCTCGTCCGTGGCTCCCAGGGCCTCGAAGATYCGGTCGCCCTTCGGCCGCCGCTCGCCGGTGAAGGTGCTGGAGAATCCTTTGGGAAAGCGGGAGG